CAAGTCCAAACACTTCACACGACCAACAAAATCCTGGAGAGCCCCCCGACCAGGGGCTCCCAAGCTGAGAGGAGACAGCAGCAGCTGAACCGCTGGCCGAGTCTGCTACTAAACATTCTTTGCTTAAGGCACAAATGTGCTTGTCTGATTTTTAAACTGGCACACGTTAGTGGCGTGTGGCATCATCTGTTGGGACAGAGAAGGTTGTGCAAGGCCTCATTCCAGCTCCCCCTGGGGATGGTGGCAGCACATTAACAAGGGATGGGCGGACGCTGGCAGTGTGGGAGTCTGAAGGGATGAGGGCAGTCCCCGGCCCAGCGTCACCAAACCTCGGAGAGGAGTTCCCACAAGTGGGGAGAGGAGGGGTCACAGGCTGCAGCTCCCCGTTGCCTCCCTGACTCTTGGGTAACTGGGGAAGTTCTCTGGCTCAGTTTCCTCTAGCCTTGTCTGTATCATACTTCCCTAAGGGAAGAACTGGTCGACTTCACACACCCTGAGGAAGCTACGTTCGTAAGCGGGCAGGGCAAACGTGCTTGGAAAGACACTGCTGCCTTGATAGCTGCCTTCTCCTGCCAGTGCCGAGGGAACGGCGCCCCACCTCCGTGCTGGGAACGGGAGCGCTCCTCGTCCTTCCCTGCTGTCTCCTAGGGACAAGCTCCTCCCCAGCAGGTCTCCCTCACAGGGCAGCTCCTCCTTACGCCCCATCCCCAGAGGCTGGGAGTCCTCCATCAGCACCTCTGTGGAAGGCTCGGCACACTGTCTCAGCCTCAGGTGACTTCTCTTCCAGGCCTGGCTCTTCTCAGCTTTGTGTGCCCCACTCCCTGGCTTGCCCAAGGGCACCTGGGGAAGTGAAAAGTACAGAATAAACAGAAGTGTCTATTCTCTGGAGTCCACGCCTAGGACTCCTGTTTGAAAAGGAAGAACAGAAGAGAAGCAATTGTTCGGAAGTGCAGACTATGTTTCGGGATGCAGACTGCTTCCTCCCATTTCCAAATGCTATTGCAATTCACACTTTGCTCATGTGCAGGAAGTTAAAACAGGGCTCACCACATCTATAGCAAGCGCACTGTGGTAAACACAAAGAACCCTGGCCGTCAAATACTTCTTTTGGATCAACTTCTTGGTCATTCCAGGTCATCTCATCTGCCCCTAAGAAAACAGCACAGTGGGCTTCCCCTGCAGCCGTCAGTACTCCGGCACCCATGGTGTCTCATCTTTGGGCTCAACTCCTCTTCTCCCCTTCCCAGTCTCATGCTTTCCTCTTCCTCGATCCCAAAGAAACCCAGCATAAAATACTCACCGGAGTCTTATTCTAGTCTCCCCATGACCTCCCGGCCCACACTGGGGTTGCTCACACACTGGTGCTTGCTTGCGCACTGGGTCAGGAGCTCAGGGCAGGGGCTGCAGACTCTGCCTCATCTGAAGGCTTTTAGTTAGGCATCCCTACAAAGAGGGGCTCAACAAGCCTTTCCAATTACTTCTTTTTTTAATTTTTTTGGTCTTTTTTGAGACAGGGTTTCACGATGAAGTTCAGGCTGTCCTTGAGCTCACTTTGTAGCACAGGCTGGTCTTGAACTCCCAACGGTCATCCTGCCTCAGCTGCCTGGGTGTGGGATTACAGGTGCACACCACCCGGCCCGGGTCCTGACTGCTTCTTCTGGTGGTACTGGGAATGGCACCCGGGGTCTAATCCATGCTAGGCAAGTGTTCTATTAAGCAGCCACACCCCGGAACCTCAGCCCCTGGTCTTTTAAATAGGAGTTCACTAAGTTGCCAAGCTGGCCTCCAATTTGTGATCCTCCCACCTCAGCCTTCCAGATAGAGGAATTACAGAAATATGTCCCTGCTGCTTTCATGCTCATAGTCAGAGTCTACTGTACTCCTATCACATCTCTTCCTCTTGCTTTAACATGTCAGTATGTTTGCCCGCCTGTGGGTACAGCTAATGTTGATTGTGCAGAAAAGAACCACAGGTGTGTTCATATGCAAGTGGTGTGCGTATGTACGTGTATGCGTGTGTGTAGCTATTGGAATTTAGAATTTGAACATTCTCCAAAGGTCTCCCTTCCTGCCACCCATTTTAAGACACGGAATGCTACAGGGCTGACGCTGGCGCTCTCTCCTGAGAGCACACTCCTCTGGCACACAGGCATCCTACACGCAATGATGACAGTTTTTTCAGTTTCCTAGACCTAATCCTCCTCAATCTTATAAGCACAATGATGTCTGGGGAGATAGTTTGGCAGTCTAAGTGCCTGCCTGGCAAGTGCAAGGACCCAAGCTTGATCGCTGGTACTGCATGCCATGCCAGCCCCAGAACCCCGGGCAAGCCATACCGGACTGAAACCCGGCATGGTGGCACAGGCCTGTAATCCCAGTGCTGGGGAGGCTGAGACAGGAGGATCACTTCGAGCACGAGCTGCGTAGCGAGACCCTGGACCAAAGCAAGCAAGCAAGAAGCAGCAAGCAAGCACAATGAGCCTGCTTTCCTCAGTGGAGAAATGAGGGTGATTAATGCCCCCCTCCAATACATCAGCATAACTTCTCTTCCTACAAAATAAAAGAGTCCTCTTTTATTATTCTTTGCATTGCCAGTACCTAGAAAAATCCTGGCATATTTATTTTTAAAATTTATTTTAAACATATTTATTGCCACCTCTGCCTTGCTACCTAGCCAGCTGACCTGCTGTTTGTGTGTTTGCCTCTCTATGGCCACACTCCACGGAGCACTTAGTGACCCTGTGAAGATCTAAGTCAGATCATTTACCCTGACAGTGACACCTCAAGTCTTCAGCATGGCTTACAAGGTGGTATATGATGGCGCCGGAAATTATCTCTGCGTTTGTTTTGTCCATTTTTCCCTTGGTAACTCCATGCCAGTCACACTGGTCTGCACTTCCCTTGTGTGTGCCAAGTGCACCCCATCTCAGTGCCTGGCCTGGCTGCTACTGGGTGGCTCCTTCCTGTCATAGCCTACAAGACTCTGCACACACAGAACTTTATCAGAGGGGGCTGCCTCAGCTCCTCTTCTCCACAGGATGTGTCACCACCCAACTCCACGCTTGGTTGGCACTGGTTTTCTGTCTTTGCCCCTGGGCCCCATTGTTCCCTTGTAGATTTACCCCGGGAGAGCCAGGAGTGGAGTCCCTGCATTCATCTGTACCCACCCTCCATGCAGCAGGACGGCAGGAGCTCGACTGGGAAGCTTAAGCCAAGCGGGAGAGGATGAAGGAGAACAGACATAGGTGCTCCGAGTCTGAAACCCGTTAGCTCTGCTCTGACAGGAGTGAAGCCTCTGCGCTTCGTGCCACGTGAGGGTCCTTCCTGTCTCAGCCATACACCTACAGCTGCCCCATGAAAGCTAAGGGAAGTGCACTATGGGAGGCAGTAGAGCTGCAGGGAGTCAGTCTGCAAAGTGGCTCAGAGATCTCACTTTACAGATAAAGGAGCTGAGGCCAGGGCCCCCTCGGAAACCAGTGGAAAGCTGGAGCTGCAAGCTAGGTCTTCCGCTCCAATCTGGTGTTCTTAGCTTATACCACGTAACCCCTCAGTTAGTCTATACAATATAGGGAATGACAATTACTTAAAATAAGAGTGAAATTACATGGTGGCACGATGTGAGTCCCACAGATCAGAAGCACTGGTTTCCCGAGAAACAGGCGAAGAGAACAAGCCCCTCAGGACTCCGTGGGCCGTTCTGAGCTCTGTCCCTCATCGCACTTCTCAGCAAGGCATGCACACTGCGCTCCTTGTGAGACTCCCAAAGGGAAGGAGAGGAGAACGCGGTCTCCAAACACTGCAACTTTCCCTTTCCTTTCCTTTTTCCTTTTCCCTTTCCTTTCCTTTTTCCTTTCCATTTTCCTTTTCCCTTTCCTTTCCTTTTTCCTTTTCCCTTTCCATTTTCCTTTTCCCTTTCCTTTCCTTTTTCCTTTTCCCTTTCCTTTCCCTTTTCCTTTTCCCTTTCCTTTTTCCTTTTCCCTTTCCTTTCCTTTTTCCTTTTCCCTTTCCTTTCCTTTTTCCTTTTCCCTTTCCTTTCCTTTCCTTTTTCCTTTTCCCTTTCCTTTCCTTTCCACCAGGCCAGTGAATTAAGTCTGAGGACACTTCCTTGCACAGACAGTGGCATTCATGCATTACAAAAAGTGCAAGTATTTGACTACAGAAAGGCAATAGAACTGTCACTGCACCTCTGTGACCTTATTAAAAGTGCTCTTTCTATTTTTTAAAGAGTCTTTTCTACTTTTTCAGATTTATCTGAATCAATGGAATTGAGAAACAATTTTTGAAGCCCTGGCAAGCACCAGGGTTCTATCACCAGGGTAACTCCAATTGGGCCCAATGTCCTTGTGGCAGAAGTCATATGCTCATTTTATAGAACTCAGGCTAGAGTTCTGCGGGGCTGCACCGAGCAACTAAGATAAAGTCCATTCTAAATACAGCGCTGAGGAACAACAACGCGGAGTCATGCTGTGCGCCCCCCCTCCACTCACGCCTCCCTCCACAAAAACACACAACTCTAACAGACTGAGGCGGTCTTAAACAGACACACAGCTTACACAGGCAAATGAGCAGGCTGTGCCCGAGCGCTGCAGTCCCCTTCGGGTGTCAGATGTGCATTCCATCACGGCCACTGCCACACAGTATTTTCCTGGAGCCCTTCGTTTAGAACACAGGCTCTCCAGATTCCGTGTGTGGAAGGGTCATCCAGAGAGCACATGAAGCATGCAGACCCCTGGAGACTACTGACCCCACTGACCTTTGATGGGGTTTGGGAAGTCTGTTATAATAAGGACTGCAGCGTGTGTCTTACATCCGTGAATGGTAGTGCTTTAGAATAACTCAGTCCATAATCACCCAAGGGTGTCAGGGAGAGGACTGTGGAGTCCTAGCCTGTATACATGCATATAACATAATGACAATGTTACCCTTTCAAAATCCCCACTCTTTCTGATAGGACATGAGTACAAATATCACAGAAGCATCTGTAGCCAACAGCACTGTACCTCCATGAAAGAGATTCCTAAGCTCCAGACGTCAGAATGAATTCCATACTGCTCTCCTGAAATTCTTTCAGGCTGCAAGAAAACAGAAGGGACTTTGTGAGTTGCTGCATTATTCCAGGAAACATGTTCACCGAACTGAGCTCAGCTAAGGCAGGGCCACCAACTATCATGGATGGCAAGGCAATTTCACATGCATGTGTCTATGTATGTATGGATTACATAGAAAACACATGGAAATGATATACGACTAAACATGCATGCATGTGCAAAATCTCATCAAATCCTCTATTCAGCCCTGGTGAAGAAGACTTTATCATCTGTATTTCACTGATGAAGAAAATGAGGTCTCTAGGAAGTGAATTAACTTGGACAGGCATCTAAGCTGGCAAACGAGCGGAGACCTAACCCCAGGTCTGCTTCCCCTATGTCAAGCCATCTTAATTGTGGAATGACAAATTACACAAAAGTATGCAATATTATCATTTATTTGCAATTTGATATTGGGTTAAAAAGACTAAGGACTTAGAATTTATTTATGTATTTTTTTTGAGACAGGGTCTTACTATGTAGTTCAGGCTGGCCTTGAACTCACTTCGTAGCCCAAGCTGGTCTTGAACTCATGGCGATCCTCCTGCCCCAGCCTCCTGAGTCCTGGGGTTACAGGCATGTGCCATCATGCCCAGCAGGACTTAGAATCTTAACAAACTTTTTACTTAGAAACAGTTTCAAGCTTATAGGGAAGGAAGTGGAAAGAATAAGATTAGTGTGAAGAATACTCATTTCCTTTACCTAGATTCACCTGGTGTCCCATGCTTTATTCCACCTGTCATGGATTCTTTTGCTACAAGTCAAGGCCTCCTGGGAATGGTTGGTCCTCCCCGCAAGATGCAGAGCAGGAAGACACGCACACTCAGCTTCATCAGGAAGAATGTTACACTAAGGTGCGTTCTCATCTGCCCCTCCCAGCTTTGGCATTCAGGAGGCACAGGAATGCTCAGAATGAACACATGGACAAATGGCTAAGAGAAATTGAGCTCTTGAAAAGGTACAATTGCTCAAGGTTGTAGACGGATATCGTGGCTGAGCTGGGATAATGACCCACACTCTGTTACCCAACTTGCTGGTTCAACAGATACTAGGATTATTCATATGGATCTGCAGCAGGTAGTGACAGGACTAACAGACTGCTGCCATCCACAACCCTACCCTTGCGGGCATTTAGGAGAGAGCTGCACGTGCCAGGCACTGCTTGAGTGCTTTCCATGCATGTCTCACTTCAGATTTGCATACATACATGAACTTGCTATTATCAGCAGCCCCATTTAACAGATAAGGAAAATAAGGCACGGAGAGATGTAGCTTAGTTACTGACGTACAAAATGCTGCACAACCATTGCTATGTAAGATCAGCAGGAATCATCACTCAATGACCACCTCGCAGTGCCAGACGGTGGGCCAGGGACTGAATCCTCTATGCTTCCCAGTAACCTTGCAAAGGTGAAGGTTACAGCCTTCGTTGCTCGCCCAGGCTTGGAGCTATGGAGCAGCATTAAGTGAACTCCAGGAGCACAGCCAGGATTCAAACCCAGTTGTGTCTGACTGCAAAATCCTTTCAGCGTGCCAAACAGTCCCTGGAACTGAAAGTCAGAAGAGCCAAGCGTTAGTCTGCATCTTGCAAGTAATTCTACTGTGCTGTCTGTAGACAGCCATCAGAGTACTGCCTGGGGCCTTACCAAGATGAACGCCCTGCATCAGAATCTTGGGGCAGGCTGGGCACTTTGGGGATCTTCATTTTAAAAATAACCTTTCTGGGTGATTTTTTGCTACAATCTGCTCCAGTCACTAAAGATTTCTCTATTCTTCCTCCACTGACCAACAGCAGTACACAGCACTGCATACAGAGTACAGCAAAAACAAAACACAGACAGAAGTGAAACCACACACAGAATATTTTGGCAATGAGACTAAATACATTCGTTACATTTGCCTGTGGAGCTACCAAAGCAAACGTGGACTGCAAAATAAAAATAAAGCATAGGAAATTAAATTAGAAAAATTACAGAAAAGTGATTATGTTCACAGATATCAGGTGGCAAGTAAGAGTTTCTTAAGGGTGCGATCCTGACACTCTTGTTAGAAAAATTCTGGCAGTAAGCAAGCAACAAAAAAAAAAAAAAAAACCAAGATTACTGCTGTGACGCAATGTGAAAGCAAAGACACTCAGCAAAAGCAGGCAGCAGGCTCCAGGACCCTGCCCTAAAGAATACGTAAGGCAGACATGCATCAGAAACACAGGTCCCTGCAACCCACTGAGGCACAAAAGGAGCCCGATATGTTTTGAATTAATGGAGCCAGGACGTGACAGCCTGTGGCTCCAGAATTTAAAGCTAGTCTCACACTTGACACCAAGGTGGCCTGCTCTGTCCTCTTCCCTCCAAATCAAAGTGGAACAGAAGCAACCACGACATATCACACTACTGCAAGAAGATCTGGGGTGGACAGTGTGCAGTGAAGGAGCTAAGGCTGGCCTTCCTTTCTCACAAGACAGCTGTCAGCAGGGTGGACGGGATAATGCAAACACAGCCTCTCATCTGCAGCACAGGTACTGCGGTTTAAATGAAGTACAGAGCAAACAAACCAAACCTCTTGCCTTTTCTTAACAGCAACAGTAGGCATGTAGTGATCCAAAATGCAGAATCCACAGTGCATGGGCAGAGGCTGTGGCTTCAGCTGGCGCTCACACCCACTCCCTCCAGCTGTGCCTGGGCAGCCACTCAGGGCCTGTAAGTAACTCATTCCAGAACTGTCTGTTTACAACACAATGCTCCAGGGTGTGCTTGTCAAGAGCAGAAGGATATCAAGGTTTGTATTTAATCTCTCCCAAAAAAGAAGTTTCAGCTCTGAGTTAGGCTTCAGAAAATTAACAAGACAGTGCACATTCTTTAGGTTAGCAGGTAATCAAAATGTGCATTGCAGTGATTTTTCTTTTTTCTTCTTTTGTACTGGGGACCCAGAGCTCCTCTACCTGTATCTATGTGGCCAGTCCTTTCTACTTTTTATTCTGAGACAGGATCTTGCTAAGTTGCTCAGGTAACTTGTGACCCCCATCTCAGTTTCCTGAGTGGCCTGGATTACAGGTATACACCTCCATTCCCAGCAGGCTTGTTTTTTGTTATTTATTTTTAGTTTGGCAAATTTCTTTCTTTCTTTTTTTTTTTTTTTTTTGTGGAACCAGGGATTGAACTCAGGCCCTTGTGCTTGCCGGGGAAGTGCTTATTCCATTGAGCCATCTCCCCAGCCTCTAAATTCCTTTTATAGGTAGCACAGCATACTGGTTAAATGAGGGTTCCAAAGTCAGAAGACTAATCCAGATCTACCCAGCTGTTACTCTGGCTTCTGAGGGGTCCGAGAAGCTATCAAAGGTGGTGAGTTTTAAATTTTAGTCTGCATATTTTCTTTCAGAAATTCTCAAGTCTGCGATGTTGCTTTTGAAATGTGGGGCCTGAACAAGGTCTGTGTGCATCTGCTTCTGCTGCTTGTTGTGGCTGCTGGATCTTCTTCATGCTGCCTTATATTTTTGTTTTATTTTCTTTGACTGCTTTCAAATTTTTCCTCTGGAATAACATTTTTTTAAGAGAAGGTCTCTGAGGCCTACAGTGGACATGCCACCTTCAACTAGCTCCCAGCACCAAGCTTCTTTCCAACTCAGCTCACGTGGGTGCCTATGCAGAGGCGTCTCTGGTCACCACCTTTCCCCAGTCTCCTCCTGCTTCTCTGCTGAGGTCGTCAGCTCCCTGGGAGCAGGAGAAGGAGTGGCTTTAGACTCTTCTGTCCCTATACTAAGGCCTCACCCTTTGGTCTTCTAGTACACAACAGGGTGGATTTCTGTTGAAAGCATCTGCTTCAGGTGGGCCCTGGAGTTTGCTGCATCTTTGGCCTAAGTGTGGTATCCAAAAATGCAATTACTATGAGACAACAATATGCAATGTATTAATTATTGTAACTGTCCTCCTAACCTGTTTTGAAACTGTCTCACTGCAATTTCTTTCTCAATAAAATTAAAGACAAACAAACCCAAAATGCACTAAGGAAGATGCAGCTCCAGTGCTCTGATATTCTCTGATTCCTCTGTAATAGAACCTCACTCAAAAATTGTCCTGCGCCAGGTGTGGTGGCACGTGCCTGTAATCCTAGCTACTTAGGAGGCCGAGGCAGGAAAATTTAAGTATGAGGCCTGTCTGGACAACTTAGTGAAATTCTTTCTCAAAATAAAATAGAAAAGGCTGAGGATATGGCTCGGTGGTAGAGCCCTTGCCTAGCACAGGCAAGACGCGGAACTCAATCCCTAATAAGCATAAATAAATAACAGAAAATTCCCTGGAAATGCCCCATTATCTTTTTAGTTCTCCAGTGTATTTGAGATGGTTAAAACTTTTTAAGCTTGTATGTGTCAACAGAAGAGTTGATTCAAATAATTTAACATGCTATTCAAAGAAAACTAGGGGCTGGTGTCCAATTAAAATCTTTCCTTTTATTATGTGCCAACTCCAAGAACTTGGGCTAAAGTTATTTTACCTTCAATTTCCTTATCTGTAAAATGGAGCTAACAGTAAGAGATGGGTTGTGTGAGGATGGTGGGAAGGAGCGCAGAGCCTTCCCCTAACTGTCACTTCTGCTGCTACCCCATGGCACGAGTACCCCAGCTGAGCGGCAGCATATGCTCTACTAGGTTTTATTGATTTAATTAATTTTTTGGATATCGGGTCTTGCTATGTAGCTCAAGCTGGCCCTGAACTCATGATGTAGCCCAGGATGACTCTGAACTTGCAGCGGTCCTCCGGCCTCAGCCTCCCAAGCGCTAGGATTACAGGCAAACGCCACCACGCCTGGCCTACACAGATTTTATTCCAGGTAAAGACATTTCCAAGGATTGGAATGGCCTCATCAAAACACCAAAAACAACAATAAGAATTCAGAAGATATGAATAGCCATTTAGATTGAATTCCTGATCCCAAAGTGTATTTGAGCAACATCACTTTTTCTTTTAACTTCAAAATTTCAGTACAGTCAT